CAGGGTCCTCGGGGGTCCCCGTGGTTGGACTTGGGAGCTGCAGGGAGTAGGGGGAGCAGCCGATGGTGGTCGGGAGGGCTGGGAACGCTCTCCAGCCTTGCGCCGTGCAGCAAAGGCAAAGGGCCAAAAGGTCCGGGTCGGAGCAGGTGCCCCCATCCCCTTCTGTGCCCGTTCTGCCAGGGTGGGACAGTCCCCCATTCCGACACCGCCCCCCCTCTGGGTAGCATTCCCAAGAAAGGGAGGGGGACAGACCGAGGGCCCTGTGGAGGGGGAGAAGTTTGTAGGTCTCTTCTGAGAAAGAAGCTGGAAGAGATTAGCCTTGGTGAGCAGGATGGCGGTGCAGCCTTCCCTTCCCTGGCATCCGGCGGCATTCACCTCCTCATCCCTTTCTTCCCTCAGAGCCCACGTCTCCCTCTGGCTTGGGGCTGCGGTTCCAGTTCAGCCGTACGCAAGACCAGGACATTCGCATCCTGCAGGCCCAGCTTTGGCTCTATCTTCGAGTTCCCCGAGACTTGGTAGCCAGCCTCACCCTGAGGATCTTCCTGGCTGGTGGGGAAGGTGGTCTGGTGGGGGGCAATCGCACGTTGCTGAGCGAGAGGCGACTGAGTGCTAAGGGCAGCGGCTGGCGTGCCTTCACCCTCATGCCTGCCCTGCAGAGTTTCTTTGGGGGAGAGCACAGGACCCTGCGGCTGGAACTGGAAAGCCGTGGGGATGAAGGTGATATCATGGCAATAGTCAATGCCAGCTGGTCCCACCAGCCCTTCTTGGTGGCCGAGGCAAAGGTGCGGGAGCCAGGACGCCACATGGCCAAGCGCAGCCTCCGCTGCAGCCAGAACTCCAACCTCTGCTGCCGCAAGGACTACTATGTGGATTTCCGTGACATTGGTTGGAACGACTGGATCATTAAGCCTGAGGGCTACCAGATAAACTACTGCGTGGGCCAGTGCCCTCTGCATGTGGCAGGCAGCCCTGGAATGGCCTCTTCCTTCCACACAGCTGTCTTCAACCTCGTCAAAGCTAACAACATCCAGGCGTCCGGGCACTCTTGCTGCGTCCCCACACGACGTCGGCCACTCTCTGTCCTCTACTTCGATCGCAATAGCAACATTGTCAAGACTGACATCCCTGACATGATTGTTGATGCCTGTGGCTGTAGCTAGGGTTGGGGGGAGCTGTGCTGCGTACCCCCGTTCTCCAGGACTGTCTCTCTGGGGGGGCAGTAAGGGGAGACAGCGGGGGAGAGCTCCCTTGAACTGGAGTCAGACTGTTGTGCGATGGACCCCTTTGGAAAGGTTGGGAGGGAGGGAGAGGGTCCCATCAGAGGGAGCAGGGGTTGTCTCTGGAGAGCACCTGGGGTAGGGGTCTCTGGGGACGTGTGGGACAGAGCCAAGCCCACGTCAGGCTGCCTGAGTCGGAGCTGTGGGTGGTTGGTGACTCTGGGCATCCCTGCCCTGGCTGGCAGCATCCCTCTGGTCCCAAACTGGCCCCACATTTCTGGTGGTTGTGTTCCCCTCTGTGTGTGGGATGGGGGACCCCTGCTTTGTTCCCATTCAGAGTGTCTGGTGACGGTTTGGGACTCAGCCTCCTGGAGAGCAGACTGGGATGCAGGAATGAGTCTGTTTCCTCCAAGTGGGAAACTGGAGGCCAAGAGGCGGTCCTGCTTTTCTCTGCTACTGCAACCGATCTTTCTGCATCAAATTTGGGTCTATTGTTCGGGACAGGTGGAATGAGGCACAAATAACAGGCCTGGAAGATGAGGATGAGGGGTATGACTTTGTCAAGAACCCCAAAAGCAAAGCGCGATGACTGGACACAGCCTTCTGCTTCCAGGAGGGCATGGAGCTGTGATGGATGGCCTTGCTTCCTGGCCAGGTCCTGTGTATGTCCTCCTTCATTTCCCTGCGTTTTGTGCTTCCCTCTCCCCTTGCTTCCCGCCCCACCAGTCAGGTCTCTTCCAGCCCAGTGCCTCCTTACAAGGAGGTCTGACTCAGACTTTGCCTTTAAGACCATACTAAAGGTACAGATTTATCTTTTTTCTTCGGTAGAGGTTTCTGCAGCTGTTGGGACTCCCTGGTGCTCCACCCTGTCTACCCACCTCTTTACTGAAGATCCCGCTCTGCCTTTGCCTTCCTGATACCCGTGTATGCAATGCACCCCCACGGCCTATGCTTTTAATTTATTTTAATACTTTGGTGCAGCTTCCCCAATAAATGGGTGGAAATGCAACATCCAGGCTCTGACTGCTTTCTCCTGGCACCGCCTGCACGGACGGAGGTGGGGGAAATGGTCCTGCTTGGCCAGAGGGTTGTTCTCCTGGCCGCGGCCCCGCAGGCTCTGGCTGGGAGGATGCTGGGCTCTGGAGCTGGAGCAGCACAGGAGCTGCAAGCTGTTCGCGGTGGTGGGCAGCACGGCGGTGCTGGAAGGCGAGGGGAACTGTGGTGCTTCTGGGGCTCCCTGAATGCCGTGAGGTGCTGCACACCGAGACCCTGTGTGAGCAGGGCTGGGCAGGGGGCTCTTCCTTTTGGATGGGAGATCCAGGGATAAGGCATGGGCTGGGAACCGGGTACCACCTCACTGCGGGCTGGAGAGGGGTAGCCTGTAATGTGAGCATCAAAGAAGCTGTTGCCCAGCAGGGCAAGCGCTACTGGGAGGCGTAGCCCAACCTGAAGATGCTGTTCTCGGCCTGGATCAGTCCTAAATGGAGCTCAAAATACCACAGTTCTGGAGGCCCTGGCCCTGGGAGGGTGACCTCAAATGAGGAGCCACAGCCCACCCCTGAATCCTGTGCCTCCACTGCAAATACCAGAGATTATACCCTAATCACGTCTCGCTGACCTCCCCAATCCTCTCTCGTACGCTCCCCTAAGCAACATCCGATGACCCCGGTCTCAACCCCATGGCAGCTGGTCATAGAGCCTGGCAGTGCCCAAGCCGGTGAGCGATGGGGAGTCTCCTCTGTAACTTGGGGCGGGATGCCTCTGAATTGGGAGGCGATGCCCCCTGCTCATACCTCGTGAGATCCCACATGGCTCACCGGGGTCCTTGTTGCACAAGCACCTGCTCAAAGCTCAGTTTGGGGCTGTTTTATCTGGGGACAAACCCACTTGCTTTCCCAGCTTGGCCCTGTGCTGCACCCTGCAAGTGGGCAAAGGGCAGCTTTCATCAGCCGGCCGCAGTGGGCATCCCCCCAGGCTGCAGGGGCAGCATGGCCCTCACCCACGCTCCCCAAAATGTCTCCACCTGTGAGGATGCCTCAGCCTTCTGGGCCCTCCCACAGCCCCAGCACATGCGTTGCTGACACAACGGAGCACCTTGTCGGTGTCCGTGCCTCCGGGAGCGTGTGCTGCCATACACGTGCCGAGAGTTGCAGGTGTGGATTTTGGGTAAGCACACAGGGATGTGCACCTTGCTCCCTCCCTGTACCCGCACTCTTGCTCTAGCCAGCGCAGCTGCGGTGGGCTTGGGCAGGGAGGCATCCCACAAGGACGCCAGACACCGCGTTTTCCTTTGCCAGCAGCCCAGTGTCTCTGCTCTCGTGGTGAACGTGTGTTTCCATGTGTATGTGTGGGAGGTTGTCCACATGCGTGTGCGTGATGTGCTGACTCACTGGCACACTGACACGCTGACCTACCAGCCCAGAGCCGAGCTGCTGAGCTGGCTGTGGTGGTACCGTTAAATCTTTAATCTGGGTGATCATCTGGCCCTGCTCTGAGCCGCATTAACTTTCCTAAACAGGAGGCCAAGATTAACCATGGGGTGGGGGACGCACCGGAGTTGGGTGTCTGACGGATGGGTGCTGCTGGGGGTGGGAGCTGCCCAAGCCTTGTTTGCGCCCAGGAGGCTCAAAGCCGGTGGCAAAACAGACCTGGTCCTGTCTGGCCGTGCAGATGGCCCTTTGGGAAGAGGTGGGTGGTCCTGGGGCAAGTCCCCAGACTCCGGGAGGGAGGCTGGCTGGGCGATGGAGGTGTGGGTGGCCGGACTGGTCCCGCACAGCGCCCCGTGCCCAGGGGGCCTTTCCTGGCGGCTTACCCGGGGTCACACTCAGCTCAGGCGTAAATCTGCTGAGCCGCTTATGCCTATTACAAAACGGGCGGGCAGGCAGCTGCTCTCACCTGCGCCCAGCACCCTGGCCCTACCTTGGGGCCGATGCTGTGGGACTCGATCCACCGCAGCAGTCTGGGGGTACCCCGGGACAGAGCTACCTGTTCTCCCCTCGTGCCAGAGGAAGGGGGGAGCTGTGCAGGCAGTGCCACCTCCTCGGGGTGCCGGGGCCTCCCTGGGGAGCAGAGACACCCCTCGTCACCCCTCGCTGTGTTGGGGGTGGCTGGCAGGGAAAGGAACTGATCTCAGGCTAGGGCAGTGGGGAGGGAAGCTTAAGCCGGGGAGTAGTCTTTTTCAGGCCGTGGCTAGGAGCTGAGGTCGCCTGAAATTGTTCTGATAGTACAGTCCCCATGTTGTTCCCCTGCTCTGGGGGTCCCACGCAGTCAGTGGAGAGGGCGATTCCCAGAGCTGGGGCATGGGCCGTGCCGTACGGCTACTCCTGTGGCGCACTGGACACCTGCGGTGCGTGATGACACGCGGGGGCACTGGGAGGACATGCTAATGCGGAGAGGGCAGAGTGCCCACCGTGGAGGGTAATCCCGCTAAGAGGCTCTGAGGTCAGGCTGGATGTGTGGCACAGCTCCCATCACCTTTGAGGCTCACCCTGGACATGGGCAGCAGCATCCCAGAGAGCAGGATGGAGCCGGCAGGAGCTGGGAGCAGCTGAGCACTAGGGCAGGGCGAGAATATGCGTGCCCCCAAGAAAAGTGGGTCTGGGGTCACCTGGGCGGCTGAGCACCCACAAGATGGGGCAGGAGGCTCTCCGCGCTCAGGAGCCTCCAGGAACAGCCCTTTGGCAAGCCCCGCTCCCGGTGGTCCGGCTGCCCTGCCCGCTCTGGGCTGCAAGCCCCCACAAGGAGCTTCCCTGTGGGCTGTCCAGGCGGGATGTTTGTCGCTTCAGAGTCACTTTCCCGGCAGTCAGGGAGTTAGGACTAGGAAAAATGGGGTGGGGGCAAAGCTGTAGGAAGGAGTAGGGTCCCCAGGCCTCCGCAAGTTTTGGGGAGGTTGCCCTGCCTCCCCACTGTGCCCTGCTGGCGTTGACACACGCTGTCACGTTCTGGCTAGGGACAGGCGAGCAAAGGGCGCCTTCCCTGAAACAGCTGCTTGCACCCAGGGCCAGCCTGGCTCTTCCCCTACATTTAGTCACTGTGTCACAGGGAGGAACTGACCTTGGATGGAAAAGCAGCGCTGCCAGGTGAGAAATTAATTTGCTTCTAACCTTCCCCTCCCCTGCCCAGTCCCTGGAGCTCCCAGGGACCGTTTCCGACTCTCGCTCAGGTACCCGCGTTCTCTCCTGCCTCCCTCGGAGCAGGCGACACCGTTGCTGTGCTTTCCCTTCACGTGCGACAGGACCTGGCTACCTGCAGACCCCGCGAGCTGGACCAGACCGGGCTCTTTCAGGGAAAGGGGGGCTGGCTGTGCAGACTGTTTGGGGCGTAGGACTCGTTTGGGGAAGGGAGCAGAACGCTCTGCAATCTGCTCTCGGAGCTGCTACAGCCCCAGCTCCCTACTCGCCTTCCGTACAGCGAAACAAACACAACGCAGGGCTTGACTTTGCCCCCGCGGGGATGTACAGCTGTGGTGGCAGCTGAGGGGCACCAGCCTGGATGCGGATGACAATCACTGTCAGGCCCTCGAGATGGTCTCAGGCCCTCGAGATGGTCTCAGGCCCTGCAGTACACGTTATCCTCACCCCCTCCACCACTGGTAGCCCTGAAACAGTTGATACGGTGGAGGGAGAAACATCTGGGTGGCGAGTAGAAGGCAAAAATGCAGGCACTGGGACACAGCTAGGAGACCTGCTAGGACAGCAGTCAGACTATGGGCCACGAGCAGCCAGGACAGCTTTTGGGATGGAGAAGGCTTTTTGAGCCACAGACGTTGTGGCCAAACAGGAGGCACCTGGGGTACCCAACGGGGCAGTGCCGGGAGGATTGCTGGACCCCTCAGCAGCTTACGGGATGGGGAGGTAGGAGGATGCCCAGGTGGAAACGAGGGGACTCATCTCCGAGGGCAGCTGCATGGGATCCCCTGCAAGGATGGGGGAGCTAGGTTAAGG